CTGTTGTATGATTGAACATGATAGTATCCAAAGGCCCAAAAGAATATCAGATGTCCAGCCAAAAATTATGTCAATTCAAACTCCACTGATAATATTTGTCTTGAGTTGCGTGTGTGATGATAAGCCTCTTTCGAATGATACCATAATATATTTAAACACAAGAAAAAGGAAAAGAGGAGCCACATGTAATGAGATATCTTTATAACTTTTAGATTAAACAATGGATCCGTTGATTTGCTTAATTAATTAAGAAGGAATCTACTTACATAATATTTGATATTTTAATTTTTTTTTAAATTAAACAATAACTTTAAAGTGCTTATGCATCAAACTAAATTTATTCCTCTTATTTAATTAAAAAAAAACTATTCACATCAAAATTAATAATTTGTAAAAGATTATTTGGATGTAAAGTTCGTTAGGTATTTGAAATCACTAGAATAGAATTAATATCAAATGGAACTATTTGAAAAAGCAAGATGAGGGTTTAGAAGGCAACAGCTCAACTTCCTCCCCGGTTTTCCATTCTCTCTCAACTGAGCATCACACATATCAAAAGTGAAAATAAATATATAAATAAAGGTTAAACTATTATATCAAAGAAATGGAAATTATCAAAAATGAAAGAAAGCATGTAAAGCTAAACCCTAGACAAAGATATGAGGAGAGCTGATGGAATAGCCTTTAAAAGTGTATCCAACAAACCAACAGAAAGATCAAATGAGGTAAAACATATAATTCCTGCATCTTCCCAATATTACAACCTGCTAATTTAGAAAAGTTTTCAGTCTCATTAAGACATTGATATGAGTCAAGCATTGAGACATGTGTAACAAAGGGAAGCTCAAGACTTTGAAGTTTGGAAAGTTTTGGGATGGGAATGGAGAGAGCTATCTCTATTGTATAATCTAAAATTGTCTACAATCAAACAGACAAAATGGAAAAATTTCCATATATGACAGACATTATAAATTATATCTGTTTCCATTGATACATATCCATACATCCATGTGTACAGTACAACCAGATGTCTGCTTGTTTCTTGTTTCATGACAACTTCAGTTAAAATATTGTCTGAAGTATCTGATTAGACTAAGGGGAACAGGGACAAATATTACTTGCTACTTAAAATCCTTTTTAGACTCAACAAAAGGAACAAGCACCAATGGAATAATAATGCATAGCTTCGCACGCCAATGATCCTAAACTGATTTTAACACCATGACCCCAACATATACCAAAGGAAAGAGCAACTTAGTTATATTCTTAAAAGGCTTTCTGATAGAATCCATGAATTCTCGTCCAAGACTCTTCCCTCTGCATCTTCAACTGCTTGTAGAAGTTGCCGATGAAAGTCTCAGCTTTGGCAAACAACTCCTGCCCCCCATGCTTATCTTCCTCCTCCTCCTCATACTCCACAGCAACATCTTCTGCGTCAGCCTCTCCGCCTCCTATGAAGAAAAGGCTTGGCATGGAGGGGCACTTTTTCACTTTCTCTACTTTGACAGCAACAGGAATCTTCTCAGATGCTGATTTCTCTACCACCTTATCTTTCTTGTCACTGCATTCCAAACTAGCAACCTGTTTCTTGTCATCAGGCTCAAGAGTGGAGGATTCTTTGGTTGCAATGGGTTTAAAAGCTTTCCTGTTGTCTTCTAACGGCCCGGAGAAGAATGAGAGAAGGCCAGCTTCTACTCCAAGTGATATGATGAGGAAATTGAGGACAAAGTAAAGGTAAGTAGGCCTTAAAGACGATGATAAGAGTGGTGCAATTAAGAGAAGTGCAGCTAGGAGAGATAGCATAAGAATTTGAGACTTCTTAAACTTGTTCATTCTTCAAGCCAAGGGAGGGGGGAAGGGGGAGGCGATGCAGTAGCTTAAACAATGAATGCTGAAGGAGTTTGTAGTAGTAGACTCAGAAGAGAATTTCAGACAAATATAGAATGCAGTGGAAAGGGGGAGTTTATAGATGCTAATTATCATGTATCAATGCTGATGGATGCATATCTCATATCTGCATATAATGCATAATAGATCAGCAAGACAAAAGTGCAAAAGAGATATCTAGGAAAAGGAGTGTTTCAAAATTCATTCTTTTCTTTTCTCATTTCCACTTCCACATTTCATTTTCGGGTCCCAATATGATAACAAGTGATGAATACATAAGATCAGAATGAATGATGCAGAAACTTTCCTTTAATTTCATAAATTCTTTTCCCTATACCCACATCAAAAGTAACACTATAAAAATCAAGAAATGATCCACAAACTCAAAATCTAACTATATTAACTAATTAATTAAAAATAGAAGAATTTGGATAACAAAATATCAGCTAAAGAGCAAAGGGAAAATAACAGGCAAGAGAACATGCAAGAGGGGAAGACTCGAATACAATTGGACAGAGCTTGATAAGGCCGGTGGAAAGCATATTCCAAGCTTCGACTTTTTTTCTTCTCCATCTTTTGAAGATACAATATAGCTGCCCCACATGGACCAAATGGGTTGAATTTGGGACCTACGCAGTGCCTATGCTGTGAGTGCCCCCAAAATTGGGCCTTTTGTCCTTCTTTTCTGGGTTTTTTTCATTTGGGACCTCTAGGAATATTTCCCACCAACTGCTTTCATAGTAAGTTGATGATTGATCCCACTTGAATTAGTGGACATGTGGTCCCCAGTTACACCATAGGGCACACTTAATTGGTCATGAACTCATATAAGGGCCAGAAGACCTTACCTATTCCAAAAACCCCAAATTCAGGCAAATAAGAGTAACAATTCAAAAGTCATCTTCTTCCATTTTTTTTTTAGAAGGGGCCAAGAATTCAATAATCACAGCTAACCTAATAATTATCATCACTATTCCAACCCTTCTTCCTTAACTTCTCAAAATACATAAAAAAGAATAGTAGTGGATATTATCATTTAAAAAAAAAAAAAGGAGAAGAGAATAAAAGTTTTAATGAATCAAACAGTTGTATCAATGCAATGCAATGGAACTTTCTCTAGGCAATAGAAGTCATACCGTTCAAATTGCTTTTGAGGTCCTAGGAGAATTTTGAATGATTGTACCCCCAAGAAAAGTGGATAAAGAAAGGATGACTAACATGAGATCCTTTGATTCGCAATTTTTCTCGTTGGCCTCTGTGGTCAAGTATAAGATATGGCCATCCTTTTGCCATGTTTAGTCAAGTTTATCCACAATGTCAAAAGCTATGTATCTCTACGTTTATTGTCAGATAATCTTCTGGTGTTGACACCATGCTAGTCAATTATAATTATACCATGCAAACCAAAAAAATCTAGGCCCCAGAAGATAAATCATTTATAATGACAATATGGCATTCCCTTGATCTTTCCAGAAAATTTAAGTAGCGTTTTCCACTCATCTTTTCCCGAACAGGTCATGAGATCACTTTAATCCTTAAAAGAGTTTAGAAAGATTTCAAACCTGGAATGGAGATCTCCGAGAAAGCAATGTTGAAACAGATACACTGCACCAATACCATAAACATTGATGACAATAAAGAGGAGATTCCTTACCGTTGAATCCAGCTAAGTGACAGCTAACCCCAATTTCATTTTCACTAAGCATCAGCCGGGAAACTGTTGATTTCTCTGTCTGCACCTCAAAATGCTTCCCATAACAAAACAAATTTCTTTTTAGCACCTGCAAACAAAGCAAATTTCTTTCTAGCACGTAACAAAGATTTGGAGAACTGGCTTCTTTTTTCTTTTACGGACCAACAGCTCCATAATAATATTCTAGACTTGAGGACAAACTAAGAAGGCTGCTTGTAGTATCAGGGAATCCCTAATGTGGCTATCTTCTTCCTCTCACAACCATCTCATTCAATGCACTGAACCAAAGATGGTGGATCAAGTAACTTGGATGGAATGAATTGAAGTATGAAACTAAAATATTGAAACTTCAATATAACATATCAAATCAACTAGGATTCTTCTTTAATTTGAATTGACATGTATAACTCGCTGAAGAACATGGGTTCTTCAGTTTTCACTTGCAATTTAGATTATATTCACATTACCCACAAGTGGTAGTCTGCAGACAAGCTGATCAAAGTCTGATGCAGCAGTTTCAAAATACTAAATGTAACCTACACTCACAAAATTTTCGTTCTCCCCAGTTGCTTGAAAGGCCCCAAAAACTGGAACAGAACTATCCTACCCCCCTGCAATGTGCTCAACAGATGGCAGCATTCTTGACCATGATGAAGCCTAGGCCATTGTATCTGCCTTTTGGCAAGATGAGGGAATGTGTACAGTGAGATCATCTAAACCAGGACAACCATGTATGTTTAAACCATGTTCATTAGCCAAGTGTAAGAGACAGATAAAACACAAATGGGGTGAAATATCCTCCTTTAGAGCAGCTTGGCAATTGATGGGAAATGTGACCAGCACATGTTTGAAACTTTGAAAGACAACATAGCCTTGCAGCCCTGTTGATAAAAACAAACTTATCATTGTGATTTCTTATACCAGGTGGTAAAGTTTATCATGATTGTTAGCACTAGACTGGTGTTAGAATTAAAGAATGGATATGTTCACCAGTTCAGAAACTTCCATAGACACTTGCATGTGGTCCCAAAGTGTTTCCTTCAATGCATGTACGTCAACTTGTTTAGAATTTTTGTCATACTGAACTTCAATTTTGTTTACCTAGAATTGTTAAAAAAAGGGGGAATTATCAACCATAATGAGTAGTAGTTTCTCAACTAAATGGTTGGCAACAAATAAATATGTGGGCCCAAACATACACAAAGCTAAATTCGCATGCATAACACCTTTAAAATTTAATAACAGAAGCAGAGTTCCATTGGAATGTTAATATCTACCATGAAGAGATAATTTGTTTGAGTTATTTTTTCTTGAGAAGGAAAGGGACAAAAAAAGAACACTCAACATAGAAGTAGCCAAATTTCCCCTGCATAAATCTAACCATTGTTCTTTCTGAAACTTTCAGAGAAAAATTCTTGTCCATAATAATTGTTTTCTACTGAATAATACTATATTTTTTTTTGGCAAAATAATACTATATAGAACACCAATAGGAAAACTTATCCTTTTCCATGACCATACACTGACTGGAACATAAAATGCTGAATGCTGAAATAAGTGGTTTTAATAACAAAGAAAGAGTCAAAGGAGAAGGGTTTGTAGAACAAAAACAAACCTTGTGAGGCTGAGTCACACATTCATAAGAATCTCTCACATCATCATGAATATATCCATCATTGTATTGGCTGCTAACTCCACTTTCATTACCCCATGATGGCAACTCTTCTTCTAAATCATTGTCTTGTTGCCATGAACCATAATCTGGTAAAACAAACTAACTCTTAAAGTAACATCAATGAACCATACGAGAAGACAACCAGTGCTTGTTTCTTGGATAAAAATTATACCTGCATTTTTTCTTCTACTCTTCCCTAGGCACTAGAATCAAAAAAGCATTTCATCATTAACCACCACAGCCAACGTTAAGAAAAAAGAATAAAAAAAAAATTGATATATTAAAGTGACAACATAAGATAGGTCACCCAGAGCCACTTGTACGGCCCAAGGTTTTGGTGATCTCATCCGAGTCAATTTGGCATCTAAAATCATAAAAGACCCAAGCCCAAGTCACCTGTCAGATTAATAAAAAAACATGAAGTGTGCAAACTGAAAGTATGAGCCCAATAACCAAGCTAGCAACCCAACACTGAATGACCCATCAAAAGAAAGGTTAAGGTTCAATGAAGGCTGCTTTTTCTTTACATAAATAAATTTGTATTACCAGAACATTAGGAAGAAGAAACAATTTGACAAGATTCTCTGGGCGGTAATGGCAGTCTTCTGGAAGTGTGTTGCTAAACAGTGCTCTATTTGCAGGTAGCATCAAAGACTTAGGATTTTTGGGGGGAGAAAATATATCAGGCATTTCATTGTCCAAGGATTTCATGAAATCAATATCAACATCCATCATGTTTTTGTTCTTAGGTCTCTTAGCAGTGGAAGCTGATCTACTTTCTGTAGCAGGAACATCACCAGAACCTACAAGAATCACAAAAGATAAATAGTCAAACTAGTTTAGATACCTATGGCAGAGACAAAAAAATAATAATAATAATGAGTAATGTCACCTCCCAGCTGTTATCTACCTTTGAACTTCCAATATTTCCAATGATCAGGACCAGCCCAAGTATTCCGCAACAGGAACCCTTGACACAGCACCGCAGCAACATCTTCAAATTCTTCCTGAAGATTGGGTTCACATGATGCATGTGAACAATTCTCCTACACATAAACCAAGAATATTTAGGTGATCATTCATATTTCTTTCACCTCCCAGTAAGTAACTTAAATACCTCATGCAGGTTATTAAATGTAGGACCAAAACTGGATGTCTCATTCACAACACATGACACTTCATCATGATCAGAGGTCCAGGCTTCATGGTCCCCAATTGAGTTGTTACCCAAGTCAGCTTCCTCATCAAATGCATCCACTAGGATATCAAAATTCTGGTTTACATGGAATGTTTGCTCTAATCTTTCATTATCTTTACCAAAATGGAGTACAATGTCCCTGAGAGTTGGGGAAATTTCATTCTTTGTTTGCATGTTCATCACCATGTTCTCAATACATTCTGCAAATAGACCAATTTCAACAGCTGTAACAAAAAGAAATGATGGGAAATAGAAACAAACTCCAAACACTTAGGCACAAACTTTGAGAGGTTAGAATGCCGTAATCAGCAATGGCACACCTTCTGCAAATGAGATATCAATCATGTCCAAGGATTTATTTTGAACTGAACACGATTTGCACTTCCCAGGCACTTCAAAAGAATCAAAGAGTACCCTACAACCTTGATATACTCCAAGATTATTCAATAGAAGGCCTTTTGCCCCACCTTCATCGAATTGTGCAGATGTTTGCTGATATAAAGGATCTGCTAGAAATGCAACTAGGAAACCATAAAAACAATTATGAAATCAGATAATCAAACAAGAAAAAGTCCAGATGAGATATTTAGGATATGCACTAACCCTCAAACTTCTTTGCATTAAGAGCTTCAAACGAGCACTCCAATGTTGACAGTGGTGAGATCTGCAAAAATCACTCATGTTAGTCAGACTTAAATGCACCAAGGCAGTGTAAACTAGAAAACAATCAACCTTCTTCTCAGATTCTCTCTTAGTATGACTGCCCTCCACACTGTTATTTACGTTACCACCCTCTGAGTGCATCTCTGTCACCAAACCACTATGTTAGGAATTGAGCAAAGGCAAAAATCCCTATGTGCAATAGAACACTACAAGAAAATTATACCAAAATTTACAAGGTATAGAAACAATTCTCTCTCTAACCAAACAGACTTGAGTAAATGTCACAACTCACAAAGCGGTTATTAAGAAAAAACCTTTTTATTGTCAACATTATCATACCATGTACATCTTCTTGCCCTATTCGATTGATCCCACTTAGGACCTTATAGGCCTCAGCATGCACAGCATCCACTCTGACAGAGTAAATTTTCACGCTGGCTTCCAGCGTGCAACTTGCCTACCCATCAAACGCCCATAAGCACTTAAAACACTAAGACATAAGCATTTAGTATAGCCATTGTATATAACAATTGCATAAAAGTTGTTCATACCCTTTGGAAATTAGCCTGTGAATCAGCTTCTGCAGCATCAACTTTGATGATATCACTAAGATGATCAATAAGCTTCAACTCCCAAGTATTCTTCTGGTTTATTTTCTAAAAAATGTATCCAACAATAGTAATAATCAACTGAATTTCCAAGCACAGATACAGCATTTATTTAAAATTCCCGTAGAAGGGCAAAGGAAACTGACATTTTCGCTGGCGAGCTTAATGCAGTTCTGGAACAAGTCGATGATTTGTTGTTTGCTGAGACAATAATCGGAAGGCGGTGAAGGAGGATTGGTTACGGGGGCTGTTGGACGGATTGCAGCGGCGCGTGCGGCTGCGCGTGCCTGTGCGCGTTCGAGTCTGTCATCGTTGGAGCGCAAAAAAAAGGCAGTGGTGGGAGACTGAAGACGGTTTATCATTGTCGCTCTCTGCCTCGGACTTACTGCTTCATCCATGGAGAGGAATTCGAATAAAAATAGGAAAATAGGGTGTAGACGGAGAGGATGTGGATTCAAAAACTTAAAAGCCGCGCAAGCCCGGCGTGGAAAACCGTCCACTGTCCAAACAACAAACACAAGGGAAAATGTCAAGGGTGGTCACCCAACTTTAATAAAATCAACACTATGGGATCTTTTTTTTTTTTTTTTATGGTAACTCCAGGGGATCAATTTAACCATGGGGTTTGTACTGGTTTAGTCTATATTTTCCTTGAACGGTGCTATAGGCACATTTTTTTATATAAATTTTTAATATAATTTTTATATATAATTAAATGAGTATTAACATTTAATATTATAAATTTTAAATGAGTAAAAATAACCATAATTTAAGTGACACGTAAGATTATATAAAAAGTAATACAAAAAAATTGTCTTAAAATCACTTTTTATTTTCCTTTATCCTCCACGGTCAAGAAAATGAAATCTTAATCAAATTGGTCGTCATCTTAACTTAAAAATCATTTTCCATTTTCCTTTATCCTCTACGGTCAAGAAAATGAAATCTTAATGACACAGACAATAGAAGGAAATTCACTAATTAGAGTTAGTTGATTTCATTAAACAAGTAATACTTAAGCAGATCCAAGCCTTCCTTTGCTGGTTATAGAAAATTAAGAAAGATTTCATGCTAAGACAGTTGAAAA